CAGTATAACGATTTTTATATAATTATCTATTGGATCACAAAAAGTAAATATAATAATACATATATTAAAAATAAATTACAAAATTTATTCGAGATTAAAAAAAAAGATAAGAAATATATATTTAATAAAAGTATTACAATAATTTATTTCATTAAATATTGCATAATTAAAAAAAATTACATGAATATATTAGAAAATAATCAAACATCTAAAGTAGATAATGGAAATGGATCTTTTCAACTTCATTATCTTGTTGTGCTATGATTGGAATTGATATATTTAATTCTCCATCACCAATAAACCTGAAATTTTTGTTATAAGCATCAAAACTTTTAGTATACATATGTGAATTTAAACTAAAAATATGAAATTAAAGAATAAATAAGTATATTTTAGTATGGCTTTAGAAATATACAAAAATGAATACAATGTTAGATATATATAATACATTCTAAAATAAATTTAGAATCAAATTCTTGATTTTTAATCCATATAACAACTTAAAAATAGACACATAAATATAGTGGAAGAAGATGAGAGAATGATTACTTATAAGATGATAATCTAAAATAGACAATGAAGATGCAGCTTTCCAAAAAAAAAAAAAACTAATGTAAGAACACAAAACAAAAAAAATATTTAAGATTTGAGCTATAGTGGAGGAGGGTGAGAGGATGAGAGGATGAGAGAATGAGAAATGAGTATTTATAGGATGAGAAGTGAGATAAGTTACAACCCAAAAAAAAAATTATGGGAGTTACAATTCTAATTTATTGTGTGTTGAATAAAATTGAGTGGAAAAATATAGTTAATGTATAATTTTAATGATTTCAGTTTTTATATTAAAGAGTGAGTTAAATATGTTTTATTTATGATTTAATTAAAAATAAAAAACATTTAAGTTACATTTCCAAATGGACCAATAAGAAGAGAGTGAAACTTTACTTTTATATGTATGATTGGTTCAATTTTATATTTATGATTAAAAAATAATTATATAACTGAAATTTATTAAAATACTAATATTTTTTTTGTTTGAGAAACTCAAAGAGTATCTCACTGTTGGAGATGGTCTAATACTCAGAAAGCCCATAACATGAAGTTTGTGACTGAGAGAGAAAAAAATCTGAACATTTTGAAAAAATTAGGATGATATAGAAATTGTTAAAAACATAAGAATAAATTTAATATTTGATGTTGGTTTTGAAATAGACAAGTTTTTGAAATAAATTTTCTAATCTTCCATTTTTTCTAGTTCAGTAAAAATAACATTTTTGTATTTTTGTTAATGCTACAATGTTTTATGGTTTTGTGCAACTTGTAATCGTGTACAGTAGTATTCAAAATGTATCATACAAGAAGTTATTTTTATTAGAATCCAACAAAAAAATAGTGGGATACGTGGATCTATTAAATAGGACATTTATGTTTTGGGTTTCTCGTATTCAATGATCAATTATGTTTGACTCCCAATAGTAAATAAATAGTCTTCAAGTTGGGTTAGACCCACCGTATCTTCTTGCGACTTGCGAGTACACCACCGAGTCACCGACTTAAGCGTATTGTGGATTTGATGGTTGAGTGTTCCAAATTTTCATAAGACCCCATTAATTCAAAACCAAAACTTGTAGGTCACCCATACCTCACTCCCTTGTGAGAAACATACTTATCCATCAATAGCTCATTTTGTAAAATGGATTATGTTTGTTAGTGTGATGAGCGATTTAACCTCATATTTAGACCAAATTCAGAAGATGGGGGAAACGATCAGAATTCCATTGAAAACAAAAAAACAACGTAAATGAATTTTGTGAGATTGATATTGGGGAGTTGCATATATTATGGTCTTATGGGTTTGAGAATTAAATAAATAAATCTTGATTTAATTATGTTCAAAACTAAAATCAGGTGAAGCTGGACCATCAAACTACATTATATATCCTATACTATTATTTGGGGAGTACAATTTATGGATTACCCTTAATTAACCTTCTCCTTTGTAAGAATTTACTTAAGAATGCCATTAGAAATAAAATTTTATAGAGTAAATTAATTCAACTCATTAAGGTTAAACAAGTCAAATACTATTATATGCAATTTAATTAATTTAATTTAATTATAAAAACGAAAATTTATCCTATACTATTATTTGGGGAGTACAATTTATGGATTACCCTTAATTAACCTTCTCCTTTGTAAGAATTTACTTAAGAATGCCATTAGAAATAAAATTTTATAGAGTAAATTAATTCAACTCATTAAGGTTAAACAAGTCAAATACTATTTTATGCAATTTAATTAATTTAATTTAATTATAAAAACGAAAAACTATTATTAATTTCTTTAAAAAGAATGACCAATCAAAATGAACATATAAGATTTGATATCTAACTTACCATATTAATTTGTTATTAATCATTATACTTCACCTCTCATCTTTATATGATTCTATTTCTATAAATAAATAAATCATTATATCATCTATATAATAAAAAAAAAGTAATTTTTTTTCCGCATATACCAAAATTTGAATTTTTAAAAACGAATATAAATTATTCAATGTATGAAAGAACAAATTTAACGGGTCAAAAATTCATATTTGAGTAATATATTCCTTTTTTTTTAATATCATCAATACTTAATAGATCAAAAATTTATGAAGTATAAATACTCTAATTTGATTTGTTGAAACAAATATTTATAATAGGCGGCGGGTTGAATATAATATATTATACGATGAAATGAGTTATGATCCTTATAACTATTTGAATATTTATATTTAATTTCGTATAATTTTTTTAAAATTCATAATTTTACATAATACAATAAATTTTTTTAAAGATTTTAATTTGGAACATTTTAAAATAGTTTAATTTAATATATTAAAGAATATCATAAATATTTAATAGATTAAAAAGATAAAAAAAAATTATAAATACAATAATTTGTTTTTCTAAAAAGATATGTTTAAAATATTTATAGTAGGCGGCGGGTTAAATGTAATGTATTATATGGTAGAAAATTATGATCCTTATAACAGACGGCATTTTAAGATTTTATGATGAGATGAGTTATATAAAGTTTGACACTTCTAAATATTTGAAAATTTGATTCTGCAAGCAATTTTGAAAATAATAAATAATAGATTGTACCGCAATATTTTCATACGGATTGTAAAATGAAAATATAGACTCCACACACAGATTGAATTTGGTATTATTATATACCAAATATATGTTCATAACATATTTGATTATGTGAATAATTGGTAAATTCCGTAATTAGCTCAAACAAATATTTATTTCAACAATCAATCAATCAGAATTTGAAAAAACAATTTCCTAAATTAATTCAAAATAATAGCTAATTTTCTTAAGTAATTCAAAATAATCTACGTTTTAGATGCGATTCATTTATGATATTTTGATTTTTGATCTAACTAAATTATATGCACTCTCATTTTGTGGTTGTTAACATAAATTAACTTATTGTTCAAACAATATTAATTTTTTTAAATAATCTTATTTTCCGCTTTCATATCTTAAAAAAAATATCCATAATTGAATACTATAGAAAAATGAAAATATATTCATTCTAATATTATACATAGGGACTGACAAAAAAATATTATTTTTTCACTTACTATTATAATATATCACAACTTTATTCTAAAACATAAAATTTATAAATTTTGTAATAAATAAAATTCAACCCGTACTGTAGTACGGGTGATGATCTAGTATATATATATCTAGATAGTTATAAGTCGAATAAAACCATAATTGTTGCATTTGACTCATTTGATTTTGGTGTTTGAACCAAATAGATGAAACCTTGTTATTTTGTTATTTATGATATTTTGATGAAACCTTTTATGGAAAATGTTGTTGGTAGTGCAAAGCATAAGATAGTTTGTGGAGATGCATAGTTATTTTTCTCTGTGATTCATACATTAACGTCTTCTAAAATAAACATGTAGGATAGATAGAAGAGTTATCAAGGTTATGTCACATACGTACGACTTATAACTACCCAAACAGGGAGTTTTCATTGATTTGTTTGTAAAAGGTAAGCACAAAAATCACGCATCGATTCTAATATTATTGTTGTACCAATTAAAGTGACGAAAATTGATTATATTTAATATTCATATTTATATGAGTTTTTTTTATGGCTTTGGGATACGATGCGGCTTATTGCGGCTGAGAGGTTAAAATATGAGAAGCAAGGCTACATGATTAATTATGCTGATCATGAAAAATCTGGTACTTTTAATATGTGTTGTTTCTATAAATATTATGATCATGGAAAAAAAAAAATATATATATATATATATATATATATATCTATATTATGATCATGGATATGTAATCATATTTGTAGAAGCTATTGGTATATTATCTATATATTACGGGAGGGCACATAGTTGAAGCTTAGATTCAATTAAAACTTAACCTCAATGCTAATTTCAAGTAATTTGGTCCCACGAACATAGAGATATCATGTTATGTACTTGTATCTTTGTATATTATATTGCAGCTAATTTTGAACTTGTGAAGTTAGAGAAATAGTTATTACTTTCACAACGCTTAAATTGTTCCCGCGAATCAACTTAGCAAAACAAGAGCAAGATAATAATGATAAAATTAAGTGTGCTAACAAGTTTTAGCTATTTTAGAGGAAGTGAGAGAGATAATGTAAGATCTGATTGTACGAGTAAACGAAATTAGCTGTAAAAAGAAAAAAGTAACTCCTTAATTCACGCCTTTTAACATTAAAAATGAAAGAATATTATAAGTAATAACTGCAGAAACAATTTCCGCCAATAGAATTGTCTATAAATAAATAGAATGAGCGGTAATTATGGACGACAGCTATTTAATTTCCCGTTCTTGAAAAAGTCAAAAAGATTATAAAATTTAATATATATATATATATATTTTTTTTTTGGCAGGATTTAAATAATAATCACTATATATACTCTATTCGATGGTAACCCTAGTTCACATTTCTCTATCTCTCTCTCACACGAACCTTTTTTCTCTCTCTCTCGCCGCCGCTCTCTTTATTTTCTCTCTTGTGTTCTAAAGATGTTCTTGCTGCTTCATCTTCCAATTCTTCATCAGTTTTGTTTCTTCTTCCCAGAACAAAAAAAACGTTACTTTTCGACAACAAACGAAGATTATCGAAGAAAATGGTGTATCAGCTCAGAATCTCGACAACTCGATCGAGAACCCTTGAAGTCAGATTCACTTCTTGATGGGTTTGTCGAGATTGACAGTCCATCAGATTTACTTGGGCTTATTTAAGCCCAAATTTATGAATGGTAAGGTATTGATCCATCAATTAGATTTTTATTTTCCTCAAATAATTTTTTTCTAGATCCATTATTTACTTCTTCTTCATCACGCAAACATAACATTTGAAATTTGAAATTTAAAACTTCTGAAATTCTCTCTGAGCACTGAAATTCTCTCTGACCACTGAAATTCTCTCTGACCACTGAAATTCTCTCTCGATCACACAACACACACTGCGAAAATGTCAATGGTAATTGAAATTTCTGCTTGTTTTTCATTTTTATCAGTGCGCACTAAGATTTTTGTAGGATTAGTGAATTTGTTTCTGCTTTTTTCTGAATTTTTTTTTTGGTTCTCTTCTTATGTTCTTGAAGAGTGAAGCAAGGAAAACAATTCTTCAGGAACTCGATTCTCTGAGAGAACTGGGGAAAACGACGTCTCTGATCCAATTGTTTGAGGTATTGGTTTCTTAATTTTCAATTTCGTATTAGGTTCTCTGGTTTTGTGTAGATCCACTTCTTGTTCGTATTCGTTTCTTAATTGTCATATCAAATTCGTATTAGGTTCTCTGGTTTTGTGTAGATCCACTTCTTGTTCGTATTCGTTTCTTACTTGTAAGATCAACTTCGTATTAGGTCCCGCATGTTTGTATTGATCCACATCTTGTTCGTATTGGTTTCTCAATGTATTAGGTTCGCATGTTTGTATTGATCTGGTTTTGTATTGTTCTACACACTAGCTCATGATTCTCATCATCAACTCCAACCAGCAGCGAGTAGTCCATCACATTTATGCTCTGTGATTTGTTTTCCATTTATGATAAGTGGATTGTGTAACACACACACTAGAAATTGAACTAAGTGAACATTTGTGATTTGTTTTCCATGTTTGTATTGATCTGGTTTTGTATTGTTCTACACACTAGCTCATGATTAAGTGGATTGTCTAACACAATATTAATTGAACTAAGTCAACATTTGTGATTTGTTTTCCATGTTTTTATTTGTTCATTTCTCAGATTTCGTTTTATTTGGGTTTAAATGAATGTTGTTATTGATCTCGTATGTGAGATTTGAGAGCATTGCTAGTAATCATGTGCTAGTCTCTTTCTAATGGTGTGTCTTTTAATTTCTTTCTCTCTTGCAGGTTGCTCCTGTTGCTGTGCCAGTTGCTCCTGTTGCTGTGCCAGTTGCTCCTGTTGCTGTGCCAGTTGCTCCTGTTGCTGTGCCAGTTGCTCCTGTTGCTGTGCCAGTTGCTCCTGTTGCTGTGCCTCCACAGGTTTGTTTTGAGTAATTTGTTTGCGATTCGGATTGAGTAATCAGTTTAAGTATCTGTTCTAGATTTATTGTCTGTGTATAATAACAATCTGTTTCCATGTTTGTATTGATCTGGTTTTGTATTGTTCTATACACTAGCTCATGATTCTCTTGTTCGTATTCGTTTCTTACTTGTAAGATCAACTTCGTATTAGGTCCGCATGTTTGTATTGATCTGGTTTTGTATTGATCCACATCTTGTTCGTATTGGTTTCTCAATGTATTAGGTTCGCATGTTTGTATTGATCTGGTTTTGTATTGTTCTACACACTAGCTCATGATTCTCATCATCAACTCCAACCAGCAGCGAGTAGTCCATCACATTTATGCTCTGTGATTTGTTTTCCATTTATGATAAGTGGATTGTGTAACACACACACTAGAAATTGAACTAAGTGAACATTTGTGATTTGTTTTCCATGTTTGTATTGATCTGGTTTTGTATTGTTCTACACACTAGCTCATGATTAAGTGGATTGTCTAACACAATATTAATTGAACTAAGTCAACATTTGTGATTTGTTTTCCATGTTTTTATTTGTTCATTTCTCAGATTTCGTTTTATTTGGGTTTAAATGAATGTTGTTATTGATCTCGTATGTGAGATTTGAGAGCAGAGCTAGTAATCATGTGCTAGTCTCTTTCTAATGGTGTGTCTTTTAATTTCTTTCTCTCTTGCAGGTTGCTCCTGTTGCTGTGCCAGTTGCTCCTGTTGCTGTGCCAGTTGCTCCTGTTGCTGTGCCTCCACAGGTTTGTTTTGAGTAATTTGTTTGCGATTCGGATTGAGTAATCAGTTTAAGTATCTGTTCTAGATTTATTGTCTGTGTATAATAACAATCTGTTTCCATGTTTGTATTGATCTGGTTTTGTATTGTTCTATACACTAGCTCATGATTCTCTTGTTCGTATTCGTTTCTTACTTGTAAGATCAACTTCGTATTAGGTCCGCATGTTTGTATTGATCTGGTTTTGTATTGATCCACATCTTGTTCGTATTGGTTTCTCAATGTATTAGGTTCGCATGTTTGTATTGATCTGGTTTTGTATTGTTCTACACACTAGCTCATGATTCTCATCATCAACTCCAACCAGCAGCGAGTAGTCCATCACATTTATGCTCTGTGATTTGTTTTCCATTTATGATAAGTGGATTGTGTAACACACACACTAGAAATTGAACTAAGTGAACATTTGTGATTTGTTTTCCATGTTTGTATTGATCTGGTTTTGTATTGTTCTACACACTAGCTCATGATTAAGTGGATTGTCTAACACAATATTAATTGAACTAAGTCAACATTTGTGATTTGTTTTCCATGTTTTTATTTGTTCATTTCTCAGATTTCGTTTTATTTGGGTTTAAATGAATGTTGTTATTGATCTCGTATGTGAGATTTGAGAGCAGAGCTAGTAATCATGTGCTAGTCTCTTTCTAATGGTGTGTCTTTTAATTTCTTTCTCTCTTGCAGGTTGCTCCTGTTGCTGTGCCAGTTGCTCCTGTTGCTGTGCCAGTTGCTCCTGTTGCTGTGCCTCCACAGGTTTGTTTTGAGTAATTTGTTTGCGATTCGGATTGAGTAATCAGTTTAAGTATCTGTTCTAGATTTATTGTCTGTGTATAATAACAATCTGTTTCCATGTTTGTATTGATCTGGTTTTGTATTGTTCTATACACTAGCTCATGATTCTCTTGTTCGTATTCGTTTCTTACTTGTAAGATCAACTTCGTATTAGGTCCGCATGTTTGTATTGATCTGGTTTTGTATTGATCCACATCTTGTTCGTATTGGTTTCTCAATGTATTAGGTTCGCATGTTTGTATTGATCTGGTTTTGTATTGTTCTACACACTAGCTCATGATTCTCATCATCAACTCCAACCAGCAGCGAGTAGTCCATCACATTTATGCTCTGTGATTTGTTTTCCATTTATGATAAGTGGATTGTGTAACACACACACTAGAAATTGAACTAAGTGAACATTTGTGATTTGTTTTCCATGTTTGTATTGATCTGGTTTTGTATTGTTCTACACACTAGCTCATGATTAAGTGGATTGTCTAACACAATATTAATTGAACTAAGTCAACATTTGTGATTTGTTTTCCATGTTTTTATTTGTTCATTTCTCAGATTTCGTTTTATTTGGGTTTAAATGAATGTTGTTATTGATCTCGTATGTGAGATTTGAGAGCAGAGCTAGTAATCATGTGCTAGTCTCTTTCTAATGGTGTGTCTTTTAATTTCTTTCTCTCTTGCAGGTTGCTCCTGTTGCTGTGCCAGTTGCTCCTGTTGCTGTGCCAGTTGCTCCTGTTGCTGTGCCTCCACAGGTTTGTTTTGAGTAATTTGTTTGCGATTCGGATTGAGTAATCAGTTTAAGTATCTGTTCTAGATTTATTGTCTGTGTATAATAACAATCTGTTTCCATGTTTGTATTGATCTGGTTTTGTATTGTTCTATACACTAGCTCATGATTCTCTTGTTCGTATTCGTTTCTTACTTGTAAGATCAACTTCGTATTAGGTCCGCATGTTTGTATTGATCTGGTTTTGTATTGATCCACATCTTGTTCGTATTGGTTTCTCAATGTATTAGGTTCGCATGTTTGTATTGATCTGGTTTTGTATTGTTCTACACACTAGCTCATGATTCTCATCATCAACTCCAACCAGCAGCGAGTAGTCCATCACATTTATGCTCTGTGATTTGTTTTCCATTTATGATAAGTGGATTGTGTAACACACACACTAGAAATTGAACTAAGTGAACATTTGTGATTTGTTTTCCATGTTTGTATTGATCTGGTTTTGTATTGTTCTACACACTAGCTCATGATTAAGTGGATTGTCTAACACAATATTAATTGAACTAAGTCAACATTTGTGATTTGTTTTCCATGTTTTTATTTGTTCATTTCTCAGATTTCGTTTTATTTGGGTTTAAATGAATGTTGTTATTGATCTCGTATGTGAGATTTGAGAGCAGAGCTAGTAATCATGTGCTAGTCTCTTTCTAATGGTGTGTCTTTTAATTTCTTTCTCTCTTGCAGGTTGCTCCTGTTGCTGTGCCAGTTGCTCCTGTTGCTGTGCCAGTTGCTCCTGTTGCTGTGCCTCCACAGGTTTGTTTTGAGTAATTTGTTTGCGATTCGGATTGAGTAATCAGTTTAAGTATCTGTTCTAGATTTATTGTCTGTGTATAATAACAATCTGTTTTCAGGATCCACTGGAGCGAGCTCGAGCTCTGGCTAAGTTGAGGAGGGAGATTGCAGCAAAAAAAGCAGCAAGGAAGAAGAAAGATTCGGCTCCGTTTCAGTCGCCAGGGACTCGTGCCGAAAGAGCCAAGCACTTTGCCTCCACCTCACCAGAGTTCTATTTTCCTAAGTAATCTCTCACTACTTTCTCCCACTACGATATTAAAAAACCTCTTGTTTTTTACTGTGTTGACAATGAAACTGCATGTGTTTGGTTTTGGTATTTCAACTCTCTGTATGAGGAATAATTGAATCTTGCCTCTACATAATCTAGTTAAATCTGAAAGCAACTGAAAATTGATATGGCCACATGAATGTTACGGATTTGACAGGTGCTCTGCTTTTCAAAGCATAAAGCCGCATGATTTTTAGATTCAGGGAATAAAGAGATGGTTAATAGCTTACTTTCACATGAATTAGTTAACCCAGCTTGTTCATGTAACCAGGGCTGTGCTTAAATGTTGTAACCTAGGGGTCGTCACCTAGTTAACAAAATAACAAAAGCCTCCCATCTTTGCCATTGGTGACTATTATCTCTGGAAACAACCAGAAAATGATTGAGAGATTGACCATGTAAAGCTTTCAATAGGAAATAGTTTAATAAGAAGTTCCGAGCATCACTGATCCTTCCACAAACACAATAAACATGAAGAAGAGTTGTGATAAACGAGAGTCGGTCCATGGTTTCTCAGTTGGTTGAAAACACGAAATGCTCGCTAATAGAGTATTGGACATATTACATATAGAGATTAGTGTTGGAAGATCGATGAGGCGTATCGAATGTTGGATACATGCTTGAGGAGAAAGCAAGAACCTTGCTCACTGCGAAATCGTCCTTGTCAATCTCCGTCTTCACCATGTAACCATGAATTCGAGAAACTTCGAGACCTTAGATCCTGGCACCGTGGAGACAACAACGAATCAAGATTCTTACGACGGAACACAAAATTTGCGTGACGTCATCGCCGATGTCATCAGAAAACGCCTTTCCCTAACAACGGCATTGTTTTTTTTCAACTAAAACTATCAAATTGGGCCTGAATTCCTTAATGGACCTTTTCTTTTCTTTTTTGTCCGAATCCAGTTACGTGACAAAGAGGATTAGGGTCCTCTTTTTTTTTTTTTTTTTTTCATTTAATCGGCATAAAATGTAAATACAGTTTAGGTCCACGTGTTTATTATTGATTTGGTTGTTTCTTTTTTTTTTGTCGTCTCATTTTATTATATTTTCCAAAAAATTTTGGTCTTTTAATTGAATAAAATATCCATTTACGGTTTTGCAACCTTCAATGTAATTAAAACCAACACCAAAGTTTCGACCTAAAACCCAACTTATTATTGGTTACCCAAAAACAGAAGTCTCCATTTTTATCTCTACCGGGTCATTAAAGGATTCTCAAAACTTTTATCAAAAAAAAAAAAAAAAAATTTCTCGTCATTGAAGATATAAATCATTTGATGATAATTACCTTCTATTATTGAAATTTAAAATATTTATAACAAGAAAATAGTACCCTTAATTCATATTTAACTTTAATCAATAAACTCTCTATTTGATATAAAACAACAAATAGTTTATCACAAGTGTTTAGTTTTGTAAGGTACAAAAAACTTCTACCATAAACAAAGAATTTGTGTAATATAAATTTTTAATATAATCATTGTATTTTTTTTTTTTTTGAATACCATGAGGTTCTGGACAAAACCCGTAATCCCCACCGGCCCGAAACCAAAACATTGTATTTTAAAAGTAACAAAAAAATGTTTCAATATATATTTAGTTACATATTATTACACTTTTCCTAGTATATATATACATATCAAATTGTTTGTGTTATTGTCTATTTTGGCCTTTGAATAAAGCTGATAATTTTTAATCTCTTGGGTAAAAGATCTTGGACACCTCTTTAGATCGTATAGTTGGCTCGCCAAATGACCACTCAATCTGCAACTAAACTTAAAAGAGTCACTGTAAAACCCTATAACATAGACCGATTCTCTAAAACATCAATGAGCCTCAGAGCAACAGACTACGTACGAATAAGCAACGCCACTAAAACTGAAACACATCACAAAGATCTCTAAAACCAGAACATCAATTATAGAAGAGGAACAACACTAATAAGATACCAAATTTCGAGATACCACGACAAACAATTTGCAACTCCAGAAAACACAACAACAACAAGCACAAAGAATCGATCCATAAGAGAAATGCTAGGATTTATATATATAATTTCACCTGTAAACTTAACCAATGTCAGATCTAGTGATCGGAAAAGGAGCAACGACGAGCCTAGCCGCGAAAGCAAAATGCCAGTGAGGACGACGATATATGAAGCAAAATCAAATCAATTTCATACTCTATATAAGACGACAATGTGATATTTCAACATAAGTGTACTAAACCGTAATCGCTATTTATCATAATGTCCATTGAATTTTTGGCAAATTATTGTTGTTTGAATCCAGTAATCAAATATGATTACCAAATAGATAATAATGTTATTAGACAAAAATATCAAAAATTAATTGGAAATAAATGACAAAATAATAAGAAATTAAGAACATGGTTCCCAAATTGGGTTTTGTTCTTCTCACTGTTCAGACTTCAGAGCAACTTTCAAAACAATCTCTATAAGGTAACAAGAATCTTATAACCGGTTTGGTTTACTTGTATCCGGTTTACAAAAAAATATCACAATTATTTCTTGAACGGTATTTGAGATATCTCGATGAGGATCGGATTCGGTTCAGTGATTGAGGCCGAGAGAAGAACGGTGCGTGATCGGAGCCTTTGAGCTGAAAAACTTGTTCGGGTGGGTTTAATATAATCATTGCTTCCTGGAGAGGAACCGGTACAAAGTAATCCTCCATGGTTTTGATGTAGAACCGTCGAATAGAACCGTAGTTTTTCTCCGAGACGTGAAGCTTTTCGCTGACCCGTGTAAACGGAGTCGGTCTAATTGATACCGAGGCCAATGCGAGGTCATATACCAAAAAAAGTTGGTTCAGTAATTAAATTGATTTGTACCGGTATAAGATTGGTTCGGTTTGAATTTATTAACCTTTGGAGGGCTTTTGTTAGGATATATTCATCAGATCCGTCGTGTTTAGTGTTTATAAATGGATGGCTAGTGATAATGACCAATAATGACATACACACTAGAAAAAATGAAAAGCTTTGTATTAGATGTTCAAAAGTCAGAAACACTTGAAAAATTGCTAAGCGAAAACTAAATTCCATAATTAGTTGGTCGACTTATATAAACAAATTATTAGCAAAACAAAATAAAAGAAGTACTAACATTTTTCTTTTGCCGGCCAAGTAGTAACTCTTTTACGACTGTAAGTCTATATAACACTGTAAAACCAAAAAAAAAAAAAAAGTCTATATAACACTGAAGACTTAATTAACAAAAAAAAAAAAACACTGAAGACTGAAGTTATCGTTTAGAAAGCACAAAAAAAAAAAAAAAAAAAAAAAATAAAAAAGAATGCACAAAAGCAGCTTTGGGAAATTACCAAAATAGAAAACGATGTCTATTTTTCTCATACTGTTAACCTTATTTTTATTGTGTCGATTTATCTATTTTCTTACTAATACATTCACTTAGACAACCAAAAAAGATTTTAGTTGAATTTTTTGATACTGAAATTTATAAGTCGATGTCATTCTACTTAGGAAATTAACATCAATTTCAAATAATTCTATTTGCCTTGTCACTTAGCATCTAGTTATATTTATATATTAGCATGACTTTCGGAAACCGATAAATTTACTATTTGACGGTGTAGTAAATCATTAGTTGAACAAATTGACGGTACTTGTACATAACACAAAAATGATTAAAGAAAAGATTTTTGGATAGAAATTTAAAACTTCAACTAGATTTTACTAAAAGCAAGAAAACGTTGTGAAATTCTATACTTTGGTATTCGGTATTTAAAAACCCCACAAAAAATGACAAGAAAGTCGAGTAAATTTGACTTTTGCCTTATAAATGCTACACGCATCCCTCTTCTCAATGTTCATATTTTTAGAATATTACTGATTTAGTTAACCACGAACTCGATAATATTATAGTAACCTTTTTTCACCTACTGCTGTACTTCAGAACTCAGATTACTCCTAAGCCTTTTTTGAATTTAATTTTTTACTTCGAACTATATATTGGGATTTGTTTATCGTTCCTTGAAGAGGAATTGATATCGAGGTAGCACACATATAAATATTGATTTTCCTATACATGTGTCGCGTGTAGTTAATTTAACCACACAAATTTTGACCCCTAAACGAATTAAGCTCTAGTCAGGTAGCAACTATATTTTACTAAAGTGATTTTTACTTACCAAAAAAGTGATTGTTCGGTTTGACTATGCCAGTGGACTCAGAGAATTAGTTACTTACTTACAAGTTACATCTTAATGCCAACATTAGTAAGATGTAGATCTTAGTTATATATGTGCATATGTAGATGATAGTAATATAATTAAGATAAATGACTCGCTTTCTTATTGCAATTTTAGTAGATAGACCATTATGTAAGCCACAAAGAGCTGATAAAGCATTAACTCTGTTGGTACGAAAATTCTATTTCTGTCAGAGAAACGTGATTGAATAGAATTCTCTGTTATTCTTCACATAGGCCAAAGAGGCACAATTTATACAAGGGAATTATGACCTAATTAGCTAACCTAATGATACAAGTAAAAGACGATTAAGGACAAGCTAATATATACACCAATACCACCCCTCAAGTTGGAGCATGAAGATTAAGAATGCCCAACTTGTCTTGAAATGCCAAAAATTCACGAGCTCCCAATGCTTTGGTAAAAATATCGGCAAGCTGACCCTCAGTAGGAACATGTTGAGTAGCTATCACTCCTGCCACTATCTCGTCTCGTATAAAATGACAATCGGATTCAACATGTTTAGTCCGTTCATGGAAAACGGGATTAGCCGCAATATGAAGAGCAGCTTCATTGTCACAAAATAGAGACGTAGGTGACGAATGCATAACTCCAAAATCTCGCAAGCATGCCTTTATCCAGAGCAACTCCTTAGTAGTATCTCCCATGGCTCTATATTCCGCTTCAGCCGAAGACATGGAGACCCGATCATGCTTCTTTGTACGCCAAGAAATCGGAGAAGCTCCCAACTGAATAAACCAACCCGTCAATGAACGCCGAGTAAGAGGGCATCCTTCCCAATCTGAGTCACACCATCCACGGACATGTAAGTCACAATCAGAACTAAGAA